AAACACAGCCGTGCGAAAACGGAGACTCCTGTCTATTTAAATTTTCCAAGCTGCAGAACATATCTTTGGGATTTTTTTCCCCCCTTCAAATTATAGTTTGCCAAGGTCCTCCTTGCAAACGTTTAACCTCTTCAAGCCACAAACTCATTTCGTTTTCCCTTTACGGGGCTCTAGTCCTACCTATGGCTCTGGATGGTGGGGAGAAGGACTGGTTTGAGCGGAATGGGGTGGGATGGGGTGCCGTAGTGTGGGGAGACTGCCAAACTGCATTCCCTTAAGTGCGGTAAAATCAGCAGTGGGATGAACAGGAGAACAGTTATTTCCCTCCCTCCTCCTTTCCTTCCTTGTTCTTTTTCCTCCCTCCCTCCCTCCCTTCCTTTTCTTTCTTTCTCCTTCCTTCCTTCCTTCCTTCCTTCCTTCCTTCCTTCCTTCCTTCCTTTTTGCTCTTGTCTTGTCATCGCTGGCTCTGCCTCCAGGACCTCCTTTGGCGAGTCTTCCCTTAAGCCCACCTGGTGGCATTTCCTATATCTTAATGTAACATAATCTTAGAACATAAGGCTGGCAACTGTCTTGAGGGCCAGGTGCCAAAATAATTGAAAAGGCCTGCAAGGTCACAAATTCAACGCAACAAACAAGGACTGGTTTGATGCAGGCTTCTTCTGGAGGCTTTCTTGACTCCCAAGTCCGGCCTACAGCCCTGGAATTCCCTGGGGGCTTCTATCCATGCGCTATCCAGTCAAATTTGACCTCATGCAGCCTTTGAGCCCAAAGGAGATAGGCTAAGACTTGAAGCATTTTATGGTGTGGATCCCAGTGTGAGGTGGTGGCCTTAGATGTATGAGTAGAAGCTATCAAAGGTAGATAGTATTGACTGAGTCATCAAAGAAGGTCTTGGTTGAGCTTCTGGAATAGGATTCTGTCATTTTCTTGGCAACAATTTAGAAGTAGTTTGTAATTACTTTCTTCCTGGAGATTATTTTCAGTCTAGTTTTGAAGTCTCCCCTCCAAGTGGCAACTGGAATAATGTCTTCTTAGCTTCCCAGGTCAAAATAGATAATTTCTCACCTCCGTCAGATTTTGGGGCTGATTCTCCTGAATCTTGAGCTGTTATGGGGAACTGTCCATAGTGCTGAAGCCTTAATCTCTCTCTTGGATACTCCTAAAGACAACTCACTAAGTTCGGGAGTGAAGCCTTAGAAAATTGCCTATAAAAGAGAGAACGGCACAAATAATTGTTGGCTTCTGATTAAGTGTCTGAAGGCTAGTCAAAACCATGATTTCTGTCCTGCTTCTATGGTAACAGGAGTTTAAAAAGAGGATATTTCATCAACATTACTGGCCCTTGAGTAGGTACAGAAAAAGAACGTCCGATTATCTACTGAGTAATTTTCTTCACAGCTGGATAGCTTGGGTCTGCACTAATACACATCTGGGGGTTCGGAGCCTGGATCTAGAATAAGTAAATTAACTTCTTGTTCTATTGTTGTATTGTGATGGTTAACATCTCTGGGCCGTATGCTGATTTAATTCCGCTTTAATAAAACCATTCTGCCCAGAATCACTTTTCAGAATAAGATGGGTGGCATAGATCCTTAACAAGTAAATGTTTAGAAAAGTTACAACCCCTCCAAGCAGTGCACAGAGCCACCAACTCCGGGCTTAATTTTCATCTATTGAGCTTTTATTTCCCAAAGCTTCGGCCAAGTGGTTTGATTTTTTTTTTCCTTTTTAGTCAGCTCTTCTGATTTATGAGTTTTCTTCCAAGTTGCCCTAATGAGGAGGCCAAATCGAGAGCCCCCCGGGCCAAGGGGAGCGATCCTTCACTCTGGCCATCGGCTGGCTTTGGTGGCCAGGGTCACGCCAGAGAAGGCAATAAGCAAGAAGAAAATTTCACTTAGATCTCACTGGGCTTTAGAACAAATCCATTATCTCGGACGTGACCGGCATAGAAAAGAGGAACTTCATCTAAAATGTTGTTAAGGGTCAGAGCTGCTGTTAAGGGCTGTAACTTGTTGTACGCAGAACCCCGGGCTGTCTATTTGTCCGAAAGGAGGCAGGCTGATCCAGCACCACCCAACCTTTTGTTCCTACCTCGGGCCACCAAGAGCTCTCTAATGACTTTTTCCTGCTCTTGTCCCCTTACAGCAGAATAACAGAATAATAGAGTTGCAAATTGCCTTGGAGGTCTTCTAGTCAAGCAGGAGATCTTATACCATTGCAGGCAAATGGCTGTCCAGCCTCTTCTTAAAAGCCTCCATGATGGAGCTCCCACATCTTCTGAAGGCAAGACGTTCCACTGATTAATTGTTCTTGCTGTTAGGACATTTCTTTTTATTTCTAGGTTGCCTCTCTCCTTGATTAGTTTCCATCTTGTTCTTCTTGTTCTGCCTTAACCTTCTTCCAACCTGGAGCTCTTGACAGTTGTAGCCTCACTGGCTTTCTCTGATTATTATTTGTTGGCATCTAAGTGGGTGATTCACACCACCAATCTGGTGATAGAACATGACCCATCTTCCTCCCTCCCTCCCTCCTTCCTTCCTTGTCCTTTTTCCTTCCTTCCTTCCTCCCCCTCCCTTTTCTTTCTTTCTCCTTCCT